CATCTGCTGCCCCCACCCCCTTTAACTTGGGAGACGCGGCCCCGCTCTTGCCAGCCTCCTTTGCCAGTGCATCTGCCGGGCACATCGTTGGGGGTGCATCGGAGTTCCCTGGCCGCTCTCCCGCCTTCTGGTTTGTCGGCCGTAACTCCCCATCACCCGTTCCCACCAGAGCCCCTTCGAGTCCCCACGGCTGCCGCCACTGTTGGCTCCAAGCCCTTCCCTGGCCTCTGCCTCTGGGCCACGGCAGCGTCATGGCCGTCACCGGCTCTGTGGGTGTGGGCTCTTCACACATCTGGGTGTCTTCCCCATCCACCGCCTCATCGCCCTCTCTTCATCGCCTCACCCGGCTCCCTCTGGGCTACCTCAACTCCCGGTAAGTAGGGGGTCCGCTCCACAGGGCATCCTTGGGGGCCTGTCTCCTTACCACCGCTTTGGTTTGGGAGGCCCGGGGAGACTCGGGACACAGCCTCTCCTCCAAGCCTCCGAAGACAGGTTCTGAAGGAAGGAAAGGCAGACATCCCCAGAGTTTCGACAGGCTCCCCAGTGTGGAGGCCAGTGCCCAGTCCAGCCTAGCCTTCAGATCAGGAGGATGGCTTGCCCCGGGCTGGCTGTATGGGCGCACAGCATGTCGGTGATGCCCTGGAAGTGCTTGAGGACAGGTACCATTTGAGAGAGGGTCAGCCAGTTGGAGCTGATGCTGAGTTCTTTCCCGTGCAGAATGGTCATCGAGGAGATGACATCCTGCACTACACTCTTCTGCTTCACCAAATGCACGAACATGGCATAGGTGGAGTTCCAGCGGGTGGGAGTCCAGGATAAGCCCGTGTTCAGGCTCATTCCCCCTCCCCCTCTCTCTAGTGCAGCAGATGGGCAGACTCAATGCTGCGTGAGAAGTGGGCAGCCAGGCACCAGCAGGTCTCAAGCAACAACTCCATCTCAAGGGGGGCAGGTGCATTCACACCACCCGCCCTCCTTCCCCTCTGCTCTCGGCCCTTCATCTTGTTTCTTTGAAGGCTGTTGGGCGGCGGTCAGAAGGAACTGGCGGGATCTGCGTGCCCCTCCTTGGTCATGCGCAGTGGAGCCGGCGCGTGACCTGGGAGAGGCGCGAAAATCCCTTTTGCTAGCTATCGGTACCGAGAAGGTCAGCGCAGGCGCAGAGTATCCCAAGGGTGTGAATGCACAGATGACCACTCGAAGATCACCAGTTACAGGTAAGCAACCTGTCTTTTCAAGAACAGGTCTTATCAGAGCTACGGCTTGCCCAAGGTCATCCAGCCAGGTGCAAGTGGAGGAGTAGGGAATCAAACCCGGTTCTCTCAGATTGGAGTCCGTGCACTTAACCACTACACCAAACTGGCTCTCAGTAGCTAAATCGCTTTCTCATAGCTTTGATGCAAGTAACTCACAAAGTAGAATATTTGCTCACAAGATTCCATAGCTAAGAGGGAGCATTGGTCCCAAGTGGCCTCTACAGTGCTCCCCAGCCCCAGAGCATCCTTTACTATCAGGTGAAGTGTGTGTGCCATGTAGCCATGGAGAATGTTGCGGCCACCCACCCACTCTCTCAGGCTACTCTGAATTACGGTAGTTATGTTTTGAGTCGTGTGGTCTGCATCCATCCCCTGCACATGGAGCATAACCACGTTGTAGCCCAGTGGCAGGACCCTGGAGCCTGGGCCATGATGCCCCAACAGTCCAGACAGAAAAGTCCTCTGGTTTCCACCAGTGGGTGGTGAGGTAGAGATAGCTGTGCTACTGGCTGCTCCAGTGATCTGCCATGAAGTGCATGGTTCTGTCTTGCACTCTGGAGAGCTGAGCTCTAACCATTACCACTGTGGAGCAGTGCATGGTAGGCAAGACTCATTGGCTCATTGTCCGCTGTGAGGGGATGGAGTACCAGGGATCCAGGTGTTGCAGGAGCTGTTGAAAGACTCTATCCTCCACAAGGGAGAAGAGTTGGTCATCCACAGCAATCACCTCGCCAATGAGGCTAGTGACTGCTTCCTGGGCCCTCTACATAGCCCTTTTGAATGGCACTGTTGGTGTCCCCAAGGGAATGACCTTGATGTAGCCTGTCTTGATGTTCCACCCACGGCACCCTGAGTGTGGAGAGCCTTTCTTGGAGGGGCCTCCTGCTCCCCCTCTGCTTCTCCCTGTTGAGAGGAAGTGGGGCTCTTCTTCCTCCCATTGGCTGCCA